CCCATTCGATAGAAAAAATGGAGTTCTAGCGAAATATTCATGTTTTTTGTCGACTAGTACAGTGAAATTGGCCGAAAATGGGGCTCAAAGTGGGCAAAATCGCCGATCCGTAAACATCGCCGAGACCGCTAACTTTGCGAGAGCATAATTCCGTAAGTTTTCAATCAAATTTCAAACTTTTGGTGTCGTTATGATCAGGAAAAGATTCTCTATCTTTTCATAAGAGAAAATAATTTTTTTTTTTTTTTAAATTTGGCCGACCCTGAGAACGAGTTTCGGAGAGGGCCTGTCGACCCTCAAAGGGTTAACAAATCTATTGAATCCTCTACCTTCCCTAAGGTTCTCAAAATAGCAAGGGTCACCCCGATCCATAAAGGAGGAGACCAAACAGACTTGAATAACTATAGGCCAATATCCAACTTACACCCTCTCTCTAAAATCTTCGAAAAATTAATTCATAAGCGAATCTATTCCTACCTCATCTCCTACAACATACTCAACCCCTATCAATTTTGGTTCAGGCCTAATAAAAATACTAATGAATCTATTATACACATGCTAGAACACATATATACTGCAATAGAGAAAAAAGAAGTCCCACTGGGGATCTTCATTGACTTACGTAAAGCTTTTGATACAGTTGACCATGACTTGCTCCACATAAAATTGTCACACTATGGTATAAGAGGACACTCCCTCAACTACCTATAGTCATATTTCAGCAACAGAAGCCAATATGTGTACACAAATGGGGCAAACTCTTCCGCACAGCCAGTCACAGTTGGAGTTCCACAGGGAAGTGTCCTAGGCCCTCTTCTCTTTCTCATATACATAAGTGACCTACCAAATGCATCACAACTACTCAGACCCACACTATTTGCAGATGACACTACATATGTCTTCTTTCACCCAAGCCCAGTCACGCTAGCCAATACTGTGAATACTGAATTGCAGAAAATATCTACCTGGATGAGGACTAACAAACTCACACTAAACATTGACAAAACCTACTTCATTCAGTTTGGTAACAGAGCTACAGATGTCCCTCTTAACATAATGATAAATGGATCACCTATCACAAAGCTCTCAGAGGGAAAATTCTTAGGAATCCACCTTGATAATAGACTCAAATTTCAAACACATATACAACAAATTTCAAAAAAAATTTCTAAGACTGTGGGCATACTATCGAAGATACGGTACTATGTTCCACAGTCAGCCCTCCTGGACCTGTATCACTCACTTATTTACCCCTATCTCACCTATGGAATTTGTGCATGGGGCTCAACAACAATAAACCATCTCAGACCACTAATTACCCAACAAAAGGCTGCAGTCAGAATGATAACAAATTCCCACTACAGGCAGCACACTCCACCAATATTCAAAACTCTAAACCTACTCACCGTACAAAACATCCATACTTATTACTGCACCTACTACATACATAGAACACTTAACTCTGATATAAACCCTCCCCTCAAACGTCTCCTTACCAACCTCAACAGAACACATGACCATAACACAAGGCACAGATCACTCTTTGATGTTCCTCGTGTCCATCTCACGCTATGCAAAAACTCAATGCACATAAAAGGCCCTAAAATCTGGCATTCATTATCTGTGAATATAAAATAAACACTGTTTATAAATTCAAGTCTCTTCTCAAAAATCACTTACTCACCCACAACTAAATAAATACCGAATAATTGTATCTCATAAATTGTATCTCATAAATGGTTCTCATAAATGTTTCTCATTATTGTATCTCATAAATGTCTAACCTGTGACCCAATCAAACTTTTTTTTTATTACATTACCTAACAGAATACTCCATTCTACTGAATGCTCAGCAACACAGTAAATGACCATATGACCTGTCTTTGTAATACTCATTTGTGCTAAATTGTTATCCGTTTACAATAATGTTTATACCACTGAATATATCATTGCTTAGTTAATCTTAAGTTAACTTTAAGCTGCCCATAATGCTCTGCATACAAGGGGCTTTGGCATGTTGCACTTTAATAACTGTATTCCTTTGTACTTCACTGTATCATGTTCAAATTAATAAATAAATAATAAATATTTTCGTATGTTTTTTTATGGTTGTATTCTCATTTTTTTGGTCTCATTTGATAGAATGGAAGATATATTACAGAAATAGACATGATTTTGATTGCTTTCATGACGAAAAGTACCTTGAAATTAAGCTCAAATTAGCAGAAATGTTCGATTTTTGCTGATGTTCAATGAACTTTGTGTAAGTCAAGTTGGTTAATTTTATTAAGTGTATTCTAACCTAACCACTCTATAATCCAGCAAACTCAGTAATCTGGCACACTACAGGTCCCAATGATGCCGGATTTGTGATGGAGGACCTGTGATTGTTTAACCCCTTGACTGTCGCAACCCCCAATCCTGAGGTGTCTCCTGGTGTCGCAAAATTAAAAAAAAAAAAATGATTTTTTCCTGTGAAATGATAGAGAATGTTTTCCCAATTGTAATGACACCAAAAAAAAAAAACGAAATTTGATGGAAAACTGACGGAATTACGCTCTCACGAAGTTAGCGACCTCGGTGATATTTACAAATCAGCGATTTTTGCCCACTTTGATCCCTATTTTCGGCTAATTCCATTGTTCCAGTCAATCAAACTCATAGCCATTTCTTTAGAACTCTGTTTTCTCTATTGATTTTGTACAAGAAACTGCTCATTTACCAATTTCAACTATCCAATAACGTGGTCAGAAATTTGCAATTTGGCCAATTTCATGAAAATTAAAAAAATATGAGTTTCAAAATAAGGTCCAGAATGACCAATGCAGACATTCCTGGCTCTAAAATAACACTCTCTTTGTTCATCAGTCATGTCCCCAGGCCCCTCTGATATTACTCTTGCTTTCTATTTTGAATTTTTATTCAAACAAAAAATAGAAGATTTACTGTTATGCAGAGTACTGCAATACTGTAATAGTTGTACATATAATGTCAACCCTTTCATGACTGCATATCAGAATGGCTAGTTGGACATTTATTGGACAATGACATCATTTATTTACTTTTGAACATCGGCAAAAATGAAACATTTCCCTTACTTCGAGCTCCATTTCCAGGTTCTTTTTATAGTAAAACCAGTCAAAATCACATCTGTTTCTTTAATATGTTTTCCATTCTATCAAATGAGACAACAAAATGAGAATACAACCATAAATACTATACGAAAATAGACCACAAAGTCGGCGTTTTAATTAAAAAAAAAACGGTCGGAGTTTTTTTTTTCTCGTTATGCACTGGGTGCTCCAGGATTTTTTTTATATGGTGCACACTGACAACACAGACCCATTCTCTCACATGTGGGCCTACCAGCTTTCTCCTGCTTGATTTGAAGCCGCTAGAATTTATGAGTATATATACATCAAACACGGTATCTCGTAAGACGTATATATAAGACTGAAACAGTCAAAGGGTTAAATTAAAATGAACTAGTGCAAATTACTAACAATTTTGTGGCATCCCTGGGCACTGTCAGTGGAACACAGAGTGCCACAGCACCCTGGTTGAAAAACAGTTCTAGTGTATGTATGATGAATGTGGTAGTTACTGTGAAGAAGTTTTACAATACAGTGTAGTGTCGTTTAACATGGTTTTGTTTGGCACGTTTTGGTTATATCACTATTGAAGAGTTGCGGCATATTTTTGTATAACACTTCGTAAAATTAACACAGTTCGGTTTGCGGGAAGGAAAAAATTTGGAGCGAGCATCACCCGTGGGATACACTGCTTGGCTATGGGTTAAACCATTGAGTCATCTGGGGAGACCTACCGCCATCCCCCACTACCCTCCACCACTCCCACCACCCTCCACCACTTCCATCACCCTCCACCACTTCCACCACCCTTGTCCCAGCTGGTTCATACGCATGTAGGACCATCCTCTGCTAGGAGCTAGCTGTATTTATTTTTGTTTGTGGATTGAGTTTAGATCTTTTAATTGCCATATCTTGTATCTACCAAGCAATCATGGCACCCAGTAGGCATACAAGTGTTGCTGAAAGTGGCAAGAAAAGGTTTAAGCATTTAAGTGTAGGAGTTAAGAAGAAAATCGAGATATTAAACAAGCTTAAGAGGGGCTCATGTGTGGTGAATATAATGAGAGCCTGTGGTCTTAATGAAGCATCAGTCTGTACAATTAAAAGGAATAAGGTGAATATACTGACTTGACTTGACTGATTTACTGACTGACTTGACTTACTGACTGACTTGACTGATTTACTGACTGACTTGACTGACTTCACCAACTGAATTATTGACTTAAAGTTAGACTTTTTCACTGAGGAGGACTCTGACAAATGTAGAAGCAGTGCTCTGAAATGGTATCTAGAGCAGCTGATACCTTATCGTCAGCTGTATAATGTACTGCAGGGTAAAATAGCCCAGAAATCTATTACAGAATTTATGCATACTCGAATACAAGCGTCAGCTCAGTACCAGAACCTCTACCATCCACCTCAGCCCAGTAGGGCCACAGCATAACTCTCCATTCTCTTCACAATCATCAAAATACCATTACCCACAATTTAAGGTAAGAAATGCTATTATTTCTATTGCGTTTGTAGTCTTAAGCAGTAATATATCATGACAGTGAACTTCAATTACATATTCACTTTTATTTTTGTAAGATCTGTTGGTCTAAAAAAAAGTTGTTTGGCATTTTGGGGGCTCCCAGGAACGTAACCCTATTTTTCCGATAAGTTCTTCAGTTTGTCTAAAATGGTTTTAACTAACACAGCATTTTCAGGAACATAACTACCGTGTTAAATGATGGTCTATTGTATCTTGGATTTTCAAAATTGTCTAAATAATTCAATATGAGCACTTAAATGATGAGTAACTTAATAGGATTCAATTTTAGATTCCAACCCTATTTTAGTGTAAAATATCAGTATTAAAATTCACCCATTTTAGTATAAAATCTAACATAGTATTCGTTTCTGCAGGATGACAGCAAGCCAGAGGAGTGTAAAGTGTGTTTTATCAATTATGATGAAGAACTACAACGACCACGCACTCTGCCGTGTGGCCACACATTCTGCTCACAATGTATTAAAGATTCAGTAAAGAATGTTCAACTCATCTGTCCGAGCTGCCGTGCTGTGCACAGTGCTACAGCTGCTACTCAGTTCCCGATCAATTATGGTATGGAGGCTCTCATAAAGAAATTCAGGAATATGCAGGTCGCATCAGTGGGATCCGAATCACCAAAATCTGGTCAAGACCACATAAGAGGCATCGGCAAGAAGTTACAGTCTGTGGTACAGGAACAGAAGAGCAGTATCAGTAACCTTATAAGTGAGTGTGAAGAAGTACTGTCCCAGCTGGGCAAGTACCAGGGGCAGGTGAGGGACTGGAAGACCCAGCACCACCAACTGCAGGACAAACTCTATGATCTGGTGGAGCAGAACAAGGTAGCACTAGAACTCCTGAAACAGGAGGATACCAGTGTGGTGAATATGTCAACAGAAGGAGGGGCAGGAAAGAAGCAGCTGCAGACCATGCTGGAGTGTCTTGATGCAGTCACCACTATACAGGAGGTTGACACAACTTGTGATGAAGCAGATCAGTACAGCGTGCAGGCTGAAGATTGGATCAGGAAGTGCCAGGAACTCTTCCCAAATTTCATCATTGCTGGCACCTCAGTGAAGGTACAATAATACAGGCCATTACTCTCACTCAACTGAAAGTAGAAATTATTCTTCATAATACTAGTTATTAAAACACTTCAACAGTAATATTTAAGTTATTAAAACACTTCAACAGTAATATTTAAGTTATTAAAACACTTCAACAGTAATATTTAAGCCTTTCATTTTTAAATGTTTATATTTGCAACATTACAGTAGTTATATTTGCAACATTACAGTAGTTATATTTGCAACATTACAGTAGTTATATTTGCAACATTACAGTAGTTATATTTGCAACATTACAGTAGTTATATTTGCAACATTACAGTAGTTATATTTGCAACATTACCGTAGTTATATTTGCAACATTACAGTAGTTATATTTGCAACATTACAGTAGTTATATTTGCAACATTACAGTAGTTATATTTGCAACATTACAGTAGTTATATTTGCAACATTACAGTAGTTATATTTGCAACATTACAGTAGTTATACATCCTGTTGGTTCAAATTTTAATTTTTATTTCATTTTATGCAGTACAAAAATAATGTAAATTACATGTTAAAAAAGAAAGTCGTTGTTAGGTACAAAAGACAGCTTCGAGTATGTAATATATTTTGAGCAAACTAATCCTAATATTTGAAGACTTTAAGAAGTAGACAAAGACTGTTAATCCTCTCACTGTCTAGATCCCCAATCTGAAACTTGTTGTCATTGTCCAAAACTTTATATAAAAACATAGAGAATGCTTTTTCCAAAGGTGACGACACCAAAAGTATGAAAATTGATAGACTTCAGGAATTATATTGGTGCAAATTGGTGAAATTTGCCTACTTTGAGTCCTATTTTAGGCCAGTTCCAGTTTTCCATTCAACTAAATTCTTAGCTAATTTGCTAGTAAGCCTTCCATTATATTTACTGAGAAGAAGAAACTACCTAATTGTCTATTTCAACTATGCAATAAAGTGATCAGAAATTGGTAATTTGGCCAATTTTACACGAATTTCAAATTATGCCAATAATAAAAAAAATAATAAAAATTTTATTTCTTTACTAAGGTTACAATGTGTGTTTACGCTTCATAATATTGTTGGAACAAAGAAAGCCACTACTGTTTAGGTGTAGTTTTAAACTGAAGATACCTAATTGTTGCACATGTCTTGCTTATCAACTTTCCTGTATTGTGTACAGTGGCAGCTTATACGGGGGTGCTGCAGAACTGCAGCACCCCTATTTTCTTTAACTCTTTGATAATATAATGTACAAGTATAAAGAAAGAATTGAATAAAAGAAACTCATTATATTGAATGTTATCAATAATATCGAGTGAAAATAAGGGGTGCTGCAGTTCCACAGCACCCCCGCACGAGCCGCCAATGATTGAGTACCATTATTTTAGTCACAGAGGTTGATGGAGGAGATTGAAAAGATGTGTAAAAGTTGAAAGTTTAAAAAGAAAATAGCAAGGTTATGAGAGAAAAAACTGATCTGGGTAATGGAAAATTGAACTTCAAGTTTAAAAGGAGCAAATACAGAGGAAGTGAATGTGTCAGTAGATTGATTTTAAAAAGTGAATTATACAATATCTGATAGATAAAAGTTCAATAAAGTGTTAAGAAAAGTTTATCAATACAGGCAAAAGAAAATGTACCAAGAGTTTAGTAGCAGTAACAGTTATATATGTTGTGAGACATGATGTTTGTTGTAGTGAGATGTTGTGAGACATGATGTTTGTTGTAGTGAGATGTTGTGAGACATGATGTTTGTTGTAGTGAGATGTTGTGAGACATGATGTTTGTTGTAGTGAGATGTTGTGAGACATGATGTTTGTTGTAGTGAGAAGGAAGATGTAGTGAGAAGGAAGATGTTGTAGTGAGAAGGAAGATGTTGTAGTGAGAAGGAAGATGTTGTAGTGAGAAGGAAGATGTTGTAGTGAGAAGGAAGATGTTGTAGTGAGAAGGAAGATGTTGTAGTGAGAAGGAAGATGTTGTAGTGAGAAGGAAGATGTTGTAGTGAGAAGGAAGATGTTGTAGTGAGAAGGAAGATGTTGTAGTGAGAAGGAAGATGTTGTAGTGAGAAGGGAGATGTTGTAGTGAGAAGGGAGATAGAGGAAGTGGAGATGTTTTGCTTAAGATCAATGTTTTGTAGCAATATTATAAAGAGAATAAAGAGAATTATAATTAGAAGTAATATACAATGCATAATTTAGGAAGCAGAAGAAGGATTGTTGAGGTTTACTTAGAAAATATAGAATAAGATGGTTAAGTCTAGGATAGAAGGAAGGGTTGGAAGGAGAGTGAGAGTGATCTTTTAAGATATGAGACTCTAATATTAAGCAAATGTATGTGTGTGTGTGTGTGTGTGTGTGTGTGTGTGTGTGTGTGTAGACCACCATTAATATTTGTGTTGGTAATGCCAGTTGCAGGAAAACATCAAGAAAGCCCTGGACATGATGACCAGAGAGACAGTTACCACAGATGTCCCTGTCCTCCTGAAATACTCTGACTTCACCATCATGGAGAAAGTTGAGAAAATTACTGGTGACATCCCTCTGAAGTTAACTGTAAGTTGAAAGTCCTTGTGAATTTCTTTTTCATGTAAGACAGTATTATTCTTGTTAGCATGATAACCTGTGATTTCCATTGTTAAAAATTATCTACTCTGTTATACCCTTAATATGATAACAAACCTGAAGCTTAAGTTATTTATATATAACTCTTCATAATGTTTCGACTGACAGGTTACTTTGAATTCCTTTATAGTTATCAGACTCTTAAAAATAGACACTGTATTAACTAAACCATCTCACTGAAACAGTAAATAAAGTGAATGAGATCTTCTCCACCAGAGTATTAAATTTATCCAGCTAAATTCTAAACTTTCAAGCCCAGGTTATTGACCTCACTGATAACTATCCCAATTCTTTCTATTTTTTGTTTCTCAATATACTACCAATTGTCTGCCACTGAGGCAGGTTACCTGATAAAGATGAAAATGCTAATTTTTTTCCTTTTATATTTAGTAATTTATACAGGAAAAGGAGTTATTTCTTTCTACTTATCCCCAACTAATTCATCAGTGGTTTCTTAATAATAAAGTCAATAATGTAACAGGAAGCAAAGTTAATACAATTTGTTCATCTGTTATCACCATTTATTATATAGCGTCTCCTCACTTAGCAACGTACTCGTTTACTGACGACTCAGACTTACGACGACCTCTCTGACCAGTATTTATACCTAAATAATGTATATTAGAACTAATTTACCCTATTCTGTTTATTGCAATATACAGTGGAACCTCTACTTGCGAGCGCATCCATGTGTGAGTTTTTCCAAATACGAGCAGTCGATGGGTTGATTTTTTGCTTCCATACACGAGCAAAATTTCCATAAGTGAGCAGACCTCAAGGGATGTTCCTTGATGCTGGTGAGGGGCTCTTGATCTTGATCTAAGGAATTGTATCTCATTTGTTTGTTGGACTATCTTATTGAAACTTGGACAATGTATGATGGAAAGATGCTTAGCAACATACACCAAAAATGAAAGAAATTGGAGCATAAATAATGGAGTTCACTTCTCAGCAATTAGCCACCCCTTAGTGGTATTTTCGTATGGCTTTTATGGTTGTATTCTCATTTTTTGTCTCATTTGATAGAATGAAGATATATTACAAAAATAGACATGATTTTGATTGCTTTCATGATGAAAAGTACCTTGAAATGAGAAATGCTTGTTTGCTTGACTATGTTCAAGAGTAAACAAATGATGTCACTGTCCATTCCAACATGCAGTCGTGAATGGGTTGACATTATTTATACAATTACTGCATAACAGTAAATCTTAGATTTTTTTGTGTGAATAAAAATTACAAATTATTTATATTGTAATACACCTACCATCCGACTTACGACCTGCTCGACTTACGACCTGCTCGACTTACGACCTGCTCGACTTACGACCTGCTCGACTTACGACCTGCTCGACTTATGACCTGCTCGACTTACGACCTGCTCGACTTACGACCTGCTCGACTTACGACCACTCGACTTACGACCGTGTTTTTTATGCCAAATTTCTGGGAAATACACAACTATTTGTGTTGTACACAGTGTTTATCCTAAACCTTACAGTATAAAATACAGTACTGATAACATAAAAAGTAAAGTAAAACATGAAATACCAAAATAAAACAATAAAATAAAGTCATTACAAAACTGTTTTGATGATATTCATTAGTAATGTTCGACTTACGACCATTTCGACTTACGACCAGTTTCGTGGAACCGAACTTGGTCGTAAGTCGGATGGTAGGTGTAATAATAATAATAATAATAATATAATAATAATAATAATAATAATAATATGTATAATAATAATACATATACTTAATAATAATAATAGGTAGTAGGTTGGTAGACAGCAACCACCCAGGGAGGTACTACCGTCCTGCCAAGTGAGTGTAAAACGGAAGCCTATAATTGTTTTACACGATGGTAGGATAGCTGGTGTCCTTTTTTCTGTCTCATAAACATGCAAGATTTCAGGTACGTCTTGCTACTTCTACTTACACTTAGGTCACACTACACATACATGAACAAGCATATATATATACACCCCTCTGGGTTTTCTGCTATTTTCTTTCTAGTTCTTGTTCTTGTTTATTTCCTCTTATCTCCATGGGGAAGTGGAACAGAATTCTTCCTCCGTAAGCCATGCGTGTTGTAAGAGGCAACTAAAATGCCGGGAGCAAGGTCCTAGTAACCCCTTCTCCTGTATAAATTACGAAATTTGAAAAGAGAAACTTTTTTTTTTTTTTTGGGCCACACTGCCTCGGTGGGATACGGCCAGTTTGTTGAAAGAAATTAAGATAATAATAATAGTATAATAATACAATAATAGGGAGAGGGAGCATGGACACTGAAAACAACAGACACAGCTTCACTCCACAAAGGGGGCAGTAAAGCAATAGTAAAGAACTACAGACCAATAGCACTAACATCCCATATCTTAAAAATCTTTGAAAAGGTCAAAAGAAGCAAGATCGCCACCCATCTAGATACCCATCAATTACACAACCCAGGGCAACATGGGTTTAGAGCAGGTCGCTCCTGTCTGTCCCAACTACTGGATCATTACGACAAGGTCCTAGATACACTAGAAGACAAAAAGAATGCAGGTGTAATATATAAAGACATTCCAAAAGTCTTTGACAAGTGTGTCCATGGCGTAATAGCGCACAAAATGCGCTCTAAAGGAATAACAGGAAAAGTTGGTAGATTTATCTATAATTTCCTCACAAACAGAAGACAAAGAGCAGTAGTCAACAGAGTAAAGTCTGAGGCAGCTACGGTGAAAAGCTCTGTTCTTCAAGGCACAGTACTCACTCCCATCTTGTTTCTCATCCTCATATCTGACATTGACAAGGATGCCAGCCACAGCACTGTGTCTTCCTTTGCAGATGACCCACGAATCTACATGGCAGTGTCTTCCATTGCACACACTGCAAGGCTCCAGGCGGACATCAACCAAATTTTTCAGTGGGCTGCAGAAAACAATATGAAGTTCAACGATGAGAGATTTCAATTACTCAGATATGGTAAACATGAGGAAATTAAAACGTCATCAGAGTACAAAACAAATTCCTTCCACAAAATAGAGCGAAAAACCAACGTCAAAGACCTGGGAGTGATTATGTCGGAGGATCTCACCTTCAAGAACCATAACATTGTATCAATCGCATCTGCTAGAAAAATGACAGGATGGATAATGAGAACCTTCAAAACTAGGGAGGCCAAGCCCATGATGACACTCTTCAGGTCACTTGTTCTATCTAGGCTGGAATATTGCTGCACACTAACAACACCTTTCAAGGCAGGGAAATTGCTGACCTAGAAAATGTACAGAGAACCTTCACGGCGCGCATAACAGAGATAAAACACCTCAGTTACTGGGAGCGCTTGAAGTTTCTGAGCCTGTATTCCCTGGAACGCAGGCGGGAGCGATACATGATTATATACACGTGGAAAATCCTAGAGAGACTAGTACCGAACTTGCACACGAAAATCACTCCTTACAAAAGCAAAAGACTCGGCAGATGATGCAACATCCCCCCAATGAAAAGCAGGGGTGTCACTAGCACGTTAAGAGACCATACAATAAGTGTCATGGGCCCGAGACTGTTCAACTGCCTCCCAGCATACATAAGGGCGATTACCAATAGACCCCTGGCAGTCTTCAAGCTGGCACTGGACAAGCACCTAAAGTCAGTACCTAACCAGCCGGGCTGTGGCTCATATGTTGCATTGCATGCAGCCAGCAGTAACAGCCTGGTTGATCAGACTCTGATCCACCATGAGACCTGGTCACAGACCGGGCCGCGTGGGCGTTTGCCCCCGGAACTCTCTCCAGGTAATAATAATATGATATGTATAATAATAATACATATATAATAATAATGTACGACATAATAATTATAATAATAGACGGTTATTATTGAAAGAATTAAGAGTAAGACGGAGAATAGGATAGCAGATGAACAAGGAGGCTTTAGGAAAGGTAGGGGGTGTGTGGACCAGGTGTTTACAGTGAAACATATAAGTGAACAGTATTTAGATAAGGCTAAAGAGGTCTTTGTGGCATTTATGGATTTGGAAAAGGCATATGACAGGGTGGATAGGGGGGCAATGTGGCAGATGTTGCAGGTGTATGGTGAAGGAGGTAGGTTAGTGAAAGCAGTGAAGAGTTTTTACGAGGATAGCGAGGCTCAAGTTAGAGTATGTAGGAAAGAGGGAAATTATTTCCCAGTAAAAGTAGGCCTTAGACAAGGATGTGTGATGTCACCATGGTTGTTCAATATATTTATAGATGGGGTTGTAAGAGAAGTAAATGCGAGGGTCTTGGCAAGAGGCGTGGAGTTTAAAGATAAAGAATCACATATAAAGTGGGAGTTGTCACAGTTGCTCTTTGCTGATGACACTGTGCTCTTGGGTGATTCTGAAGAGAAGTTGCAGAGGTTGGTGGATGAATTTGGTAGTGTATGTAAAAGAAGAAAATTGAAAGTGAATACAGGAAAGAGTAAGGTTATGAGGATAACAAAAAGATTAGGTGATGAAAGATTGGATATCAGATTGGAGGGAGAGAGTATGGAGGAGGTGAATGTATTCAGATATTTGGGAGTGGACGTGTCAGCGGATGGGTCTATGAAAGATGAGGTGAATCATAGAATTGATGAGGGGAAAAGGATGAGCAGTGCACTTAGGAGTCTGTGGAGACAAAGAGCTTTGTCCTTGGAAGCAAAGAGGGGAATGTATGAGAGTATAGTTTTACCAACACTCCTGTATGGGTGTGAAGCATGGGTGATGAATGTTGCAGCGAGGAGAAGGCTGGAGGCAGTGGAGATGTCATGTCTGAGGGCAATGTGTGGTGTGAATATAATGCAGAGAATTCGTAGTTTGGAAGTTAGGAGGAGGTGCGGGATTGCCAAAACTGTTGTCCAGAGGGCTGAGGAAGGGTTGTTGAGGTGGTTCGGATGTGTAGAGAGAATGGAACGAAACAGAATTACTTCAAGAGTGTATCAATCTGTAGTGGAGGGAAGGCGGGATAGGGGTCGGCCTAGGAAAGGTTGGAGGGAGGGGGTAAAGGAGGTTTTGTGTGCGAGGGGCTTGGACTTCCA